TTTCTCCCAATGCTCTTTACTCGTAGGGGACCCAGACTCTTTACCTCTTCTTGAAGACCACTGGTCCTACGTGAATGCCATTTTCTTTGACTAGAATGCCCTCGGGTTCCCAGTCCTGGTTAGTTCTGAAGCTCTCCTTTCTTTCTCTGAGAGATCCTTCACCCACGTTCGCTGATCGTGGGGTTCGCTGATCACAGTAGATATGCTTTCCCTATCCCGAAGCGTGTCAGAACGATAGCTCATTCGTGACCTCACTACAAACACACACACGTCACATTATTTACGAAAGACTGTACCCCTATGGGAGCCCACTGACAGAGTGACTGGGACATGCTGAATGCCTGTTTCCAGGGTCTTACCCTTCCCCGTGTCCACGCTCGTCTGCCGTGTAACTTTGCACGTCCTTTTGGTGAAAGAGGGATATACTTTCACGCCCCTTAACTCTGAGCTTGGTCACACAACGGGCTTTGGTCGGCGGGATGTGGATGGAAAGAACACTCTACCGGTTGCCAGTTTGGGCCTCACGAGGCCCGGCGTGTTCGGCTTACCCTCTGCGCCTCTGTCATCACCGTGGGAAGACCATGGTCCCGCCAGTCTGTCCGATGGCCTGAGGAGGTGGACAGATGTGTGAGGCAGAGCGGGATCCCACCCGCAGCTTGGAGCCGTCTGGTTAAGCCCGACCAAGATCGATTGGGCAACTTCACCTAGGATGTGGAAGGGTGAAAAATAAACGGTTAGTGTTGAATACCATTGAGGTCTTGTGACTGCTTATTAGGCAGCAATGGCTAGCTGATGCCCCAAGGAAGAGCTTGATTTTTCAGTCAGACAGATCAGACTGTGGACAAGCTTCCTAAAGATTCAGCGTTGTCACCTGTAAAATGTCTATCATTATCATGATGTCACAGTCTTACAGGGATTGGACAAAACAATGTATGTGACACACTAGGCAGAAGGCCTCATTATTGATATCATTATACCTCCGGGTGTAAAGAAACTTTGGGGCTCAGAAGTGCGATGAAGTGGGAGACATGCGTAGATTTCAAGACGGGGATTAGATATTAGAACACACGGTGATTTCAAGAAAAGCATTTATTCTGAAACTTGGGGCAGATAAATCTTTTCCTTTAGTTTAATGATTATTAAACTTCATTAATTTACCACCTGAGGAGATGAGTAATTGACCTGGAAATGGTTTTCTAGTAAAGGGAAATAAAAACATGACTTTACCCACATCACTTGGTGTATAAAGTGCTATTAGTCACTTGCCGTAGTTAGCACATTTGACTTGTTTGTGACCAAGAGTTCAGGTGAATACATTTGAGATTTATTTTGCAATTTTCATCATGCCAATATAAAACAGCTTTTTTTCTTTGCCCCTACATTGCCATCAGGTGGGAATAAATTGACTCGATGCAAAGTTGCGGCCGGGGGTTGAAATTTACATGTGATTGATGGTCAAAGTGCGACTAGCCTTACTGCCCCCCCCCCCACTTCCCGTATATCACCTCCTGCATTGGGACCTGTTTTGTATAAAATACTGAGATACTCACTGGTGTCTCTGCCTCTCACATGCACTCGAAAGAATTGAAAAAGAGTTAATTAAATTGATCACTAGAAAATAAAAAACTCTTAATGGATCAACATGTTTTATAAAACACATTTCTAATTATTGGGTCTTCATGTATGGAATCTTAATCTATTATCTCCCAACCGATTAGAAAATCAATTGGTACAACCAGCTTTTAGCACCCAGTTCAAGTTTTCTTGCAGGGATTTAAGTATGGATACAAAAGCCCCAGAGGGGAAGTGCCCTCTTTCCTTACTGAGGCAATTTCCCTACATTGAACTTCCATTTCCACAAAGAGGAAGCCCACAAGGGGAATTTCAGGCTTTATGGTTGCAGTAAGAACCAAAATGCCCTAGACTCATCTTGGCCTTTTCATTCTGGTATTTTGTGAATAACACACTTGTCCGTGCGTATGCAGCACGGATAGATCACTAGACTTGCTTGGATTCCTCCAAAGGATAACCCTGCAACCATGATTTGGGGGCATGGAGTTTATGACTTGGTGACCCCAGGAGGCATGGTGAAGGAGCTCGGAAAAAAAAGAAAAGAAAGGTGCGTTGACGAGCAAGCCACTGCTGTGGCAAACTGTCCAGTCCTGCCGGGGACCCCCCCAAGAGACCATGGAGAACGCGACCCGGAACTGTCTCACTGACGGTTTACAAAACTGAGCCATTTATTCCTTTGGGACCTCACTCGGGACTGAAAGCAGCTCACTGGGGGTGTTAGCTTTCAGGCGTTTGCAGCCTTATACTGTACAGGCAGGACTCATTCTGCAGTCAGAGACAGATATCAGGGACACAGAAGGCATGCACTGTCTACCCGCGTGTGGCTGACTGCTGGGGTCAGAAGAAGGAACACGGGCACACTTTCTTTTCATTTAAAGTTAAAAAAAAAAAAACCCAGTCTTTGGCGCTACAGGACTTTCAAATGTAAATATTTTTGGCTTAGTTTTTAATTTTTCTTTGTTATTTTTTAAAGTGTATGTATTTATTTTGAGAGAGACAGAGACAGTGCGAGTGGGGGTGGGCAGAGAGAGAGGGAGAGAGAGAATCCCAAGCAGGCCCCACGCTGCCAGCGCAGAGCCTGACACGGGGCTCGGACTCAGGAACTGTGAGATCGTGACCCGAGCAGAAACCAGGAGTTGGACGCTTAACCGAGTGAGCCACCCAGGGGCCCCTAAATATTTTTAAGTGCTGAGTTTACAGAAGGAAATGTTTGCAATGCCCTACTTATTTCTATAAGCAGGGTTTTATTTTCTCAATTTAGACTCCTTTGTCTCTACTGGTATGGGAAATACAGTTAGAAGGCAAAACCGAGAATTTTTTCTCAAAGCCCACAGCCAAAATGAAACAAATTCACTTTATCTTCAAAAACAAAGATTTAAGATTGAAAGTGAGGGGATGGAGAACTATTTATCATGCTACTGGAAGCCAAAAGAAAGCTGGAGTAGCCATACTTATATCAGACAAACTAGACTTTAAATTAAAGGCTGGAACAAGAGATAAAGAAGGGCATTATGTAATAATTACAGGGTCTATCCATCAAGAAGACTTAACAAGTATAAATGTCTATGCGCCGAATACGGGAGCCCCCAAATATATAAAACAATTAATCACAAACATAAGCGACCTTATTGACAAGATTGTGGTAATTGCAGGGAACTTTAATACCCCACTTACAACAATGG